CCCCAAAACCCCAAAACCCCAAAACCCCGTTAGTAAGATTATAAACATAGTAAATAGTAAATTATAATCCATAAAACAGGTATTCATTTGTATATTATTTTACGATTATTTATTGTGAGATTATAAGCAATAAAATGGAATACACTGATTTACTAAACAACAATACACCTTAAGCGAAAACTATTTAAAATCTAAGATTGCCTCCATTATATAAAAATCCAAATAAAATTAATGAAAACAGCGATAGATCTAGGAATGAACTGCTTTAATAGAATTATTCTTTAAATTAAAGTCCCAGAAATTTCTCCTAAACAATGACTCTTAAGGATTTATAGAATACTTCGGGACGACGAAATCCTTAGGTGGATGAACACATTAGATAATTAAATATAACTTAAAAGCCACTTCTCTACAGTTAATATATTAATAGTAAGTCACTGGCACATCTAAGAGAATTTAACACTAGTTAAAGTATCAATTTAAATAAACTAAAATAATACCTGAACTAGAAATAGAAACCCAGATTCAGCTTTCAAAAATCCGAAAATATTTCTTTAGATAATTCAATAGTGACTCCTTTGGGAATAAAACTTAAGCAAAATGATATAAATTCATTTGATTATAATCTCTTCTATTCAGATCTAAAGGAAGATCGTAGCAAGAAATCGCTAAAGTAGATGCCTAAACCATATAATAAAACGTTAGCTGAAAATAATAACAATAATAACATAGAAACATTGAATTAATAGATTTTAAGGCAATCTGCTTCTTCTAATCTAAACTGACATGAGGAGAGTAAAACCAATGCATTGTATTATTCTCCATAAATTTTTAGAAGAAATAAATTGAACCTGATTGCACCAAAAACAGAAATGATTTATAAAAGTTAAATAACACCTATCAAAAGATTTCCTGAGAAATATCAAGATAATATGACTAAAAATCTTAAGGAAATAGATTCAAGAACTTGGAATCAGCAAATGTAACATAAAGAATTTATTGACAGTTAAATCAGAAAAGCTGCAGGATAGTCAAAATTCAATAAAATTTCCTATTAATAATATTTGTAAAATGCTTAACAGACTAAACAAGAAGCAATTAATTAAATAGTGACTGAAAACATCATAAAATAGATATAAGAATCTATTCATGATACCATAAAAGTTGAATTAGCAGCTATAACCCTCGACAAATCAGTGATTCAGGTTCCTTCTTAGGATAAATTGTTTAACTTGCTAATGACATAGCTCGGATCTGTCATTTAGAATGAAGGAAATCAAGAAAAAGTCAAAGATAGAGTGAAAGCAGTATCAGAACTTATAGTAAATTAAATCACAGGAAGGACTAAATCAAATGGAATTACTCGAAGAAAAAGTCTAGCACCTGAAAAATCAAATACTTAAAAGTCTATAAATGATAGAGATGCGGAGAAATAATTGTAACAATAAAACTCGACAGAACAAGCTCCTGAGAAATATACCAAGGATAAACTTAACAATATGATATTCGGTAAAATAATGAAGCAAAGTAAAAAGATCATTCCTGGAAAAAAAAGACCTCAAAAGCAATTATCTAGTGGTACTTAGTCAAATGATAAAATTGGAAGTTCAACTAATCTTTTGAAAGATAAGATAAGAGTGTTTTAAAGTTAAAAAAAACTGCCAATGGATAAAATGAATCTTGCAAAACTTGTTTTAGATAATAATCTTCATAAGAAAAATAAAGAGATAAAAGAATCTATGATTGGTGGGTAATCATAAACTAACTTACAACAAATCATAAACAATATAGACGATATTCATTTGCTTTAATAAAATACTCAATGAAAGAAAGTAAGTCAGTAAGTATTGATGACTATTCCATAACTGGATGCTGTAGACAAATCAAGACTTACAGTCGATCCTGTCTCTCTAACAAAAAAACTAATGAACTAACAACTAATGCTTAATCGATAACCTTAATCATTATTTGACAATGGTTCAAACTAATAAAATGGCACAAATATGGTTTATGAGGCATCAAGTCAAACTCATAGCAATGTGGATTTACTAAACAAGAGAAATGTTGCCATGTCAATACTTAAAACGCCCTTGATAACTTAGAAAAATTTGATTAGCCCAAACCTTAGTGATATTAAGTATAAGGATTTTCCCAATGCTAACATGGATGCAGCATTTAGTAAAAAGGTTAGTTTTAGGGATGATGGAGGAGTTTAACCAAATAATAAACTCTTGCAAATGTCAGCAAATTAAAGTATGATCGCACCTCTAAATTTACAAATCCAAGATTTAAGCAGAACACCTAAATAAAGGAATATTGGGTAGTTAGTCAATCAAATTAAAAATGTTCAGTAATTTTAAAATAAAATGGTCAATGTAATCAAGCCTTCACCCTCCAAGATTAGATCGAACCCAATATCTGATGATCTCTAATCAATTGATAATGCAGCAAGAGATTTTGCACAGAATAAAAATATAGATTTCACTCTAAATGCTAACAATGCAGTTAATTTAACAATTCCTGTTAAATTAAATCAGTTATAGAAATAAAGCTCTTTAAGTTTTGAGAGTGAGGATCTCGACTTTGATTTTACCACTAAACATAAAAATTCTTCACCAAATATTGCAGCCAAGAATGATCCTGCTAAATTTAGTCCATAAAAGTAGGAATAATCTGACAATAAGCAGAAAAAGTCTTACAAAGAATTCTTTAGAGAAGGCAGCGGAACAGACACTCAAGAAGTTGCAGGCTCTGAATATCAAGATATTGTGCGTTATAAAATGGGACAAAAATATCTTCAAAATCTGTAAAAAAAGAAGTCCAAGATTAAAGGGTTTATATCTCATCCTTAAGATGCAGGGTTTAAAGAGTAACGAACTAATATTGCAGAGTTAATTAAAAAGCAATCAGATTGAGGGAAATTTGAGTTGGGGGATAACTATTTACAATTTATTGGTTTGGTAAATATTTAAGGCTTTTGAAGATGACAGAACAGAGTCATTATGTCTTTTAAATTCTTAAGGATAGATTTCAAGTCATTTATTAATAAAATGTGTATTTTAATTTAATAATTACTTATTCAAAATAATAGAAAAGATTTATGGGGTTTTGGGGTTTTGGGGTTTTGGGGTTTTGGGGTTTTGGGG